AGAATTAATATCTGGATATCCTATCTAGTTTATGACATGTTGACATTTACGACGAAGTCCATTAAAAACTATTTTATTATTGTCGTTAATTTTCATACATCAAAATGATTCGTCAAAATCGACTTCGCCATTAAATCGTTTGCAAACGGAAACGAGTCTCATTGTAAAAAGACTCGTTATTTCAATCGTAATATATCAAATTATTGAATCTCCTGTCAGATTATTGAATATTCTGTCTGCTATTTTAATGCTATTAAGTCCTATTTTAATACAGACAGAGCTATTGGATCATCTTTCATTTAAAAGATTAAACATTACCATAAAGTTCATTGACTCGCATCTCGATGCAATTTATAAAGAATTTCCATCGGAGAATCTCGTGATGATTGTTTGTTCGCGTAAAAGTAAACTTTGTTCAATTATCCGCGCAAGAGAAACATACACGTAAAGACACCGTTTCTCTCTCCCCTTGGAATTAGGTCCAATCGAGGGGATAAATGTAGACTATTTCAATAAATGCGCATGCGAGTCCTCGTCAGTTGGTGAGGAAAAGCAGAGCATCGGATTCTGCGGAGATAAATTGACAAATAAAAAATTGATTAACGAATAAGATTATTACGAATAAGTTACATAAGATAAATCGGAAACAAAAAATTCATTTACTTTGAATTGAACTTTTATTTTAGTATATGAATTAATACGAAAATACACACAAAAGCTTTGTAAAAATACGAACATTATAGACTAAAATAAATGGACAATGATATATGAGCATCACCAGAATGAGGACGTTACAGTTCAATACTTCGTTTGCAGGCCAGATTTATATATCCACGTTCGTCCCATTTTACAATTATCTTATCGCATATTCAAGTTCTCAGGATAACTTCACGACTGATATTTGTACTTCAGATATTCTTCGAACCAGATAACACTTTCATTCGTCTTCCTCTTCCGTTTCAGTCATTTCAATTGAAATTTTTGACACACGCGTGTGTATACAACGGCACGCAGTGATGCGGAGGTTCTCGCAGTCTGATCTGCGCGTATGTGATTTGCACGTATCCATCACACACGCGTCGCGCACGCATTTGGGATCCGCTGGTCAATTTGCAGCAATTACCGAGCTGTTGCGATCGGTTAAAGTCACTTAGTGCTTGCGTAGATACGTGCACACGACGAATCATCCGCGACGAATCTCGCCGGCGCGGCGACGCAGCGAATCCGCCGACTGTGCCGGTCGAAAGGTACACGGAGAATTACCGGAACGTAAAATCGCATACACGTGCTCGCGTCGCACGTGCGAATCAGTGGAGTCTCGAAGATTTCTTCGCCTCGTCGAGAAAAAAAATCAGACGTACGGATAAAAGTGAACGGAAGGGTTGCTTTCGGTGTGACGCAGCTTTGGAAGTTTTCTTGTAATTTGAATATTTTAATAATATTAGAGACAGAAGAACGTGTGTGACGTAAGTAATTTAATTAGCAATTTGAAAATAATTTGAGTTCCTTATGTTAAGTATATTCATTTAATTAACATACAAAAAATGTGAGCATAATTTCATACTTTAAGAGTCTTGTGTGCGTGTGTCTGTGTGTGTGTGTGTGTGTGAGTGTGAAGTTCTTTAATTTTCTAGTTATATAAGTTTATATTTAGAGACTATCTTGAGGAGCTTAAAATTAGAAAATGGTAGGCGAATATGCTTCTTTCTATTAGCTACACTAAAAAAATATTGAACTTTAATAAATATTTGCTTGAGTAGCTCTAAGTAAATATTTACTAAATGTAAACATATATTTGTTTGAGGAACCATTATGTTTATACGAACCATGTTATAAAAACCATTAATTTGAGTAAGCTATCATTTTTTATTGAACAAATATTTACTTACTATTCCAAGAAATATGTATTAAGATTTAATAAATCTTTTTTTGGCATACTTTACTTCTTATCAATTTCAGCTTGTCAAGCATATAAATATTACTCGATAAAATGTACATAATTCTGTTACGTTTGATTGCGTAAAGTAATGTGTGAAATATAACGCAAAATTATATTGTATATCAGGAAAAAATCGTTCGCTTAAGCTGAAATATTCGAAACTTGCGATGGCTAAAAGGGTTAAATCGTGTATGGTATTAGACAAGGCACATTATACATTTGTGTGTTTAGCTTTTATTATATATACGTATATACATGTATATATCCGGGTTATCTTTAGGGTTAAGGCCGGTTTAACTTTAACTGTGCTTCGTGTGATCGAAGAAAAATGCAAACGTAATCGTGCCTACGTAAGCAAGCTTACGAGATCTATTATGCCGAACACGCGGCATTGAACGATTAACTGTCTATTTTTCCGCGATTTTTTCCTCTTGTTTTTTCGCCTGAAGAATCGAACACTTAAAAAGTAAAAATTGAGAATCATTGTATTTTATTGTCTACGAACTGTATAGTTTTTTCAAAATCGTATGAGTTACTAGTTAGATAGATTTATATTGATTTTTATTTTATATAATATTTTACTCGATTTATCGCTATTGTTTTCATACACGAGAAAGATCTCTTCTATTACCAAGATCGTTAAATTTTTTGTAGATTTTTTTTATTTTATTTGACATTTTGCTGCCGTTTTCTTGAGAATTCTGCTTTAATAATGTTTTGAAAATAACGCGTGTCAAAGGTTAAAAATAGCGACACTTTATAAAAAGATTGTATACGTTGATGAATCAACGATGTTGACGGCAACGACAATATTCACATACATTCAATGGCATGTAACACTACTATGACGTAAGAGATGGCTGATAACGTTTTATGGTTTAAGAATTAGCGACGGTTTCATTACCTCGCAAGGTGTATCTTGTCAGTTATTGAGCATAAAGATACTCGTCAACAAGAAAATTTTGGTAATTCGTAAAATTTTGAAAATTCCGAGGAAATTAAACTTTGTTATCTTTCAAAGCAGATTGCGACGCTTTGTTTTTCGTTTAAGATGTTTGTGGGGGAATTATCAATTGCGAGGTAACGTGTTTCCATGTGTTCGTTTTAAAAGCGTGAAAAACCGTCGCGGTAAAATGCGACGCGCGGAAAAAGACGTCGATTGGCAGTCACGAGCCACCGGTTACATAAGCGCGTTCTCGTGATTACAGTGAGCCTTCTGCCTTGTGCTGAAGGAGAAAGAGAGAGAGAGAGAGATGTGATCGTTTCGCGACAGTCGAATGGATAGAAGGAGAGACAGAGAGAAAGATAGAGTGCACGAGGGCAACGACGCGCCGTCGTCGGAGAGCACGAAAGTCCGAATGGATGCTGAATGATCCGAGACGGCGAGAGTGGTGAGATAGTAATGTGCGTGCAGCGCATGGTGCGTGTCGTATGATCGGTTTACGCGTGCATCTGAGAGACAGTAGGCGGAAGGTACGAAATTATTTGAAAGATAGAAATTATTGGTTGTAAATATATACATACATATATATACACACAATGTTTTACGATCGGGGACAGAAAGTTAGAAAATGATATAAATCGAACGGAAAATTTCAAATATTCTTCGAGATTCCACACATAATACAACGCAATAAGTTCATATTTAAAAGAAATAATTAAAAAAAATAAGATATAATTTTGCGACAATATTTGTAGAATATTACTTATTTAGAGTTTATGTTGAAGAATGTAAAATGTTTAAAAAATTATATACATGATTTTTTCAGACAATTCTTGTTTTTTTAATTTATATCTTTCTGCTTTTCTCTTGAGTGTAGATATATTTGCTTTTTGTACAAATCGAAATTTTTTAATTAAAGAATTAGGTTAGTGCTAAACAAATTATAATAGCCGCATATTTCTATTTATACCGTAAATTTATACGCAAAGATATCTTTGAATAACTTTTTGAATAAATTTGAGAAAGAAAAATTATTCGTTATTTTAAATTATAACTGTAACTAATATTGTAATTATAATTTAAAGTACTTGATAAAAAAAAATACTGTGACTCATTGGTATTATTAAAATCAGTAATTATTACATTTACTATTAAGTGACATGAAAATCTTTAGTTTTTATTTATTATTAAAATAAAAAACTATTAAACAATAATCTTATTATTAAAAAATCATTGGAAAGTGATAATAATTAAATTATTAATAATAAAAATATTAATGATAAACAGAGATGACTATTAATTTTGGAAATCTATTAAGATGAACGTGCATTCTGCTATAATCTATTTACATATTAGGAAAACAATAATCGTTAAATTATAACAAGTACTTTGAACGTTATAGAGATCAGTTTTTTCGTTCGTCGCCTCCGAAAGATTTTTCGCAGGCTAATCGGTCTGTGCCCGTTTCAAACTTCCGGAGTTATGTTTGCCTAATTGACAGCTGCCTCTAATACCCTAGATGTCGGACGACAGCGAATGATTTCGTGAATGTACACGTGCTTACGTATGGAACATTTCGTGATAGACTATATAACAGCAAATTTCGTGCATGCGTGATTTCGCGATTGATAAATATCGAGTACGTCTGCGTATCGGGTGCTGTGTGTCGTAACACGGTATCGTACGACTGTCACTCATTTGATAAGAACACCAACTATGCGCGTTGATCGTTGAAGGGAATTCTTATAAGAGAATTTTATGAATTACGTACGTTTCCATGCATCGAACAACAACGATAGGAATAATGAGATGAATATTCCTCAACCTGTACTTACGTTGTCGTTGGACAACTTAATTTTCATGAAGAAGAAGAAAAGTATTTGTTTCTAATTCATTGTATAATTATTTAAAAAAAGTTTATAAGTAAATTATCAGGGAACTTAAAAATTCGATTAAAATTAAGTCCTCAAATTAAGCTTCGCAATATCGGTAACATCTTATTATTCCTTCTTGAGGTCCGTTGATCCTTTCCGATCTTCCTAGTCAAGGTTCGGATTAACGAGTTCCAGGATACATGGGCACGTTATCCACGTCGGTGGTTCGTGATTTTGCTTACAGTGGGATCGAGCACGAGGATGAGGTATACAGCGTGCGCCAGCTGGCCACGCGTGACAACGACGCCAATTTGGTGAAGATAGAGAAACCGTTGCCGATCCTCTTGCCGACTGGTAGTACCGTGTCAACGACGGATTCGTGCGAGATATCGCTGAACGACGAGAAGATTCCCATAGAGGAATCAACCGTCGACGACGAGCCCAGGAGCGACGATCGACCGCTCGCCGTCACCGCGTCGATCTTCCGTTCAATCGACGAAAAGGGCGACTGCAAAGACGATTCGCAGAAGGACGGTGTCTTATCGAAGCACGCCCAGAAAGAGAAGGCATTCGTTTTTCTCGAAAAGGCTCTCAAGGAGTCCCTGGAGGAATCGATTAAGGAATCGTTGAAGGAAAACGACGTGCCGACAACGGTAAACCGACAGGACTGCCGACAGTCCTTTGCTAAAAAGGCACCCTTCATATTCCAGGTACAATTAATTCTTTCGATGTACGAGCGAGTAGGTTTTATCTTGGGATTTTGAAGGCTTCTACTAAGAGATTTGAAATTAGACAAAATTACTAAGTTGTATAATAACCATTATTTTTGATAAGATATTTGAAATAATATGGATGATTTTCAAAATCTTTCTCATCTCTACTTATTGTTGTTTACTGGAAATATTTGTCGGGTCAGTATCACTTATCACAATGTGTAATCCCATTGCTTATACATTTCGTTATCATCTTAGGATGATAAAGTAAAAATAAGTGTTATTTTTGTCTCTCTTTCTCCTTTGTAAGAGATATCTTGTATTTTGAAAACGATTAATGTGTTAAACGAGCATAATGGAAATGTCTTATACTTGTGGCACGTCTTTATAGAAACAAATTCAAATAAGAATATAATTTAATTCTTATTTTATAAATTTAAATTAAAAGTTTTAATTAAATCTTTTATATTTTTCTTGTTTACTCATCTTGTAGTAAATTTTATAAATTTTATATAAGAAATACAAAGTTTGTAGTGAAAATAATTAAAATAAACATTGATTAATCGATAATATTTAATAAAACTTTTTCAAAAGCGGTTATTTTAATTTAAAGATTTAGATTGTGCATATAATTTTCATGTTATCTCTATTAATTATTTTAATTCAAATCTCAGTTAAAAGTACTAGGTACTTGGTTTTTATAGCAGTGTCGATGTAGCAAGCTCTAGGATAATTGTCGCTTTTATATCGAGTTGTAATCTTTGACTTTTTCGCCTCTAGATCTGTCATATGATCTTTGTTTCAGGGTAAATCGACGGTGGTAAGCGATTCATCAGACAGTGCTGAACACCGTGATCGTCCCCAGTCAGTCACGAAACATCTGTTCGCGCCACTTGCGGTTACCGTGCAACAACAGGAACAGCAGCAACAAGAACAAGAACAGTCACAGTTATCCTGTCGTCCGCAAACGGCCACAGCGAGCATTTTCGCGCCTCGTACCGAGGACATGAACAAGGGCTTTTTGACTTTCAGCGAGGATCACCCGGGTCTCACCAGTGCGTATTTTTCTCTGCGAAAAAGAAAATCGAATCTTATATCAGAAAGGAGTCGCTGATCCTCATCCGTGTTGTCAACTTTTTGTGAGAAAAAAAAGCTCAAAGGAAAAAGATAAGAAAAGATATGACACATGAGTTGAGAAATCTTTCTCTAACAGAGCACAATTTCGTGATCTGCAGAAATTTTGTCCGAAGAAAGATATATTATATGTAAGAAATACGTAATAATTATAATGTGATATTCTATTTCTTCATCTCGTTTCATCTTTAATCCAATCATATCAAATTTAATTTGATTGCCTGGAATGAAAGTTAAGATTTAAATGATTTTCTTAATGAAATCACTGATTTGGGATTCCTTTTTTATGTATCGAGGTTTTCAATTTTTCTCGTGATTTATGTGAAAATTTTGTATTTATCCTCTCTGGTCGACGTTTAATCATCTGAAGTCATAAGTACTCAATTATAAAAAAGATCATCATAATAAATCACGTTTTCTCCGTTTTGTAGTGTTGAAGGACGAGCCGGAGGACTTGACGCATCTTGCACCTACAGCTGGAGACGTGTGCGTGCCTTTGGAGGACACTCCCTTTTTGTCAGATATGCTGGATGAGTTTATCTTCGGCAACGACAACTATGGCTGTCCTCTGTTGAGTCCGGGCGACACTCTGACGCCGGAGTTACGTTCCGCAGATCTCTCGGGATCCCTCAAAGATGCGGATCTCGTGGACACTACTACCAGGACCAAGAACGCAGTCGATCGTTTAGCCGATAGTGATCCCTTCATGTACGGCGACTCGCCTGGAAGTCCCTGTGGCATCGACCCAAGTACTATGTCGCCATCCCTTTCGAAATACCGACAAGTAAGCGACAAAGAATTATTTATATTTCAAAATTTTGTCTTTCAAAAATATAATATTAATGTAAATATCGATGCTTGTATTAATATAATTATTATTTTAGAGTCCTGAGCGCAGCGTGGACTCATTAGGTAGTCCCATAGGAGGTAGTGGCGGCGATGGACTTTCCGAGGACGAGATGCTTATGTTAGGTATCAGCGATAGCATAGGGGATGAAGAATTAGCGCTCAGAGCACCCTATATTCCGATGTCGGACCAAGACGAGGCATTAGAGTTCCTTATTAATGATAACATGGTCATGTGGAGCTCGTCACAATCTGCTGATAAAGGATCCTCGAAATGGTGAATGCCACATTCGATTTAATCAATATTACGAAAATTTGCGCTATAGCAATAAGTATAAACCACTATATAACTAACTATATTTTGAAATAATTTTGAAATATAAAGTAAATAATTATATAAATTAAAATAATATTTATAAATATTAAATCTTATAGGACCGTACATGTGAGAAACACAACCAATAAGAAATTGTCTTTAACGGTCGAGCTGGATCTTAGGTGCCATTATAATTTCGTGTGAATTTATATATTACGTATATAGTCTTTTAAACCGCGCACCGAATAATTTTTCGTTAAAGACAATTTCTTATTGGTTGTGATAAATTAAAATGTAAATAAAGGCATGGAAAATAAAAATAAAAAATGTAGTATTATTTTATTTTTCTATGCATTTCTTTGTCCTCTATTTTTATTTTGCTATTTATTTTTTGGTAGGTTACTTGACGATCGAGAGCAACGTAATTCCGAATCCAGTCTGGTACAATTACTGCGAACTGATCAAGCAGTATCGCGGCGATACAACGATCACGGTGGAGGTTTACTAAATCCGACGCAGATACTGGGACAAACGCCTAGAAAAAGTAAGCGTGTATTTTTTTTTCTTGTCCGTTATTTCATTTACTATGCTAATTTTATTTATTTTTTTTTTATATTTACAATTATATAATTATATTGATAACGTATTATTAACTTTATGTACTGCAATTGAATATAAATATAAGTATATTATAATTGTAAATTATTATGATATAATTAATACATATTTTATTTTGATCTTGTAGACATACTTTTCGAATCTGATCGATGGTCTTCTAATCAAGAACGTCCCAATAAACGCATTCACTCTGGACTTAATATGGACTCTGAAAACGGATATAAGCGTCTTAAGTGTGAGAACTCGACATTCGAGCGTATAAATCTTGAAGATACTTTGGTGACGAAACAACAGCGGTTATCAACAACGCTTCATAAGAAATCGCCACCGACTCTCGATAATACCTGTGGTAGCCAGCTTCTACGTCGCCTCGTCTCGTCACAGATGCCAAGTATCGTGTCACAGGTGGCAACTTTGCCCGATAGTAATAGCCATATTCGCAGTGACAACGAACGTCATCGCGAGGACTTTTCAAAGCAGCGTGATCGCGACCTCGACGATATTATCAATTTTGTTGAGTCGGAGGGTGACCGCGGTGGGGGAGGAGGCGGAGGCGAAAATCACGGCGGTATTGGTGATGGCCTAGACAAGATCGCAACAAGTCGGAGAAGGAATCCTTGCAGCACTGGCGGTAGCAGTGTGCTAATGAATCTCCTGGTTTCTGGCTGCGATGTGAGTGCGGGATATGTTTGCTTCGTGAAGCCAACGACGAAGGGCATCGGAAACTCGTGAGGACGTTTCCGGGAGGAAGCAAGCGTCCGAAAACCTGCCTCCTTTTGGCTGCCGCCTCGTCGTTGTTGATTTTGCTAATACGGAAATTTGCATGCAACACGAAATGAAAAGTTTTTCGATTATTTGCGGTTGATATTCGCCAGATTGAGATTATAGATGGAAAGGATAAGCTAAAGGAGGCGGTGCAAATGCTAGTTTCTGTGGTATTTGATCGTGATTTCAAGCTGATAGAAGTTCTTCCTACTTTTTATACGTTCGCTTGTTCCTCGAGTTTGCATCCGCAAGCTCGAAGATCGCGTTTGAGGTTTTAAAATAGAGAAGGGGAGAATGTAAAGTTGTATCTTCACAGAAAGAAACACAAAATGAGTTTGTTGCGAATTGCGAATCGAAGAGAAGGAGTCATAGATAAGCGAGATAGTTTCGCTTAGTCGTTTAATCCTGAAATGCACTGCGTGCAATGTTTATTTTACAATTATAAATACAAAAGATATATATAATTTATAGATGACTAATGCTTTTGCTTATATTGAATATAATGAGGAAAAAAGAAATCTACGAGTTTTTATTTAATTTACATTTTTAGAATTGTATGCGTGGTTAGATAATTATATAAGCAGTGTTGCGCTTTGGAGTGCATCCTAGGATTAAACGAGCTATACTTTAGAGTCATGTTATGTACACAAATTGCAAAGTATATGGAATTGTTGATTGAATGTTATGGAAATACATGGAACATCGAATCACCTAATCAGCTGCGTTTCGTTTCCTCCCACTGTCGTCCTTTTCCGTCCATTGTCGTTTTATGACACAATTTTATCATTAAATCTGTTGCCAAGATTCATTTTTGGGTAGACGCGCGTTCAATATATAATAATTAGATACGATTTTATTTTATTAAGCTATCATTGAAAGTTTAAAATTGAAAGCAAAAAATTTTTTTAATTAAAATGTTAGATATAAAAATGATGGAAATTATCCTATATATATTTCCATTACTTCTGGAAATTTATCTAGTAGTTTTAGATAGAGCAATTTTAATAAACTTCTAAATTTGTGGATATATTAATTATTTGATTTTAAATTACAAAATAATGTTTATGAAATAATTTTAAAAAATATAAAAACTAGACAGATTTTAATTGTTGGAAAATTAATTATCGAATCCATAATCGGTCATCAAATTCTTTAGTTACCTGATAAGAAGGATTATGATTACAAAATAGTTATCACCTTTACGATCCGCACGAGGCTTACCTTCGTCTAGATTACGCGACATGATAGTCACAGTCGCTTGGTTCAGTAATCGTTCATTTATATTTATGAATGAAACGTCTCTGAAGTCACGCGAACGATGAGGAATGGGGTTCTTAAAGAACTCCGAGAGTGGTAAAAAGCAGTTATTACTTAATGTGTCAATTGTCAGCATAATCTTCTCTCTATTCTATCCTTTTTTCTTGTCTATGAAACGCAGCAATGTTTTTTTTTTTTATAATAAGTTTTATTAAGCTAATAAAAATAAACTTATTTGTCAGGTAATTAAGCTCTTAATTAATACTCAGTTTTTGTTATGAAAATTGGAAAATATAAATTGTAAATATTTTATACATATATATAATGATAAAAACCAATAGAAAATTAATGAATTTTTTTTACATTTAAATGAGATTATATATCATTGCAACAATTTCATATACTTTGCAATTTTAAATATTTAAAATGAGAAATTTTCATAATAATTTTATAAATTTTAAATTAAATATTTCTTCAAATGAATTAAAAATTTAATTTGTGCTTAATTGTCAAAATTCGTCGATTCGTCTTCACATTTTTTTAAACGTATTTCACGTAAAAATAACAAATCAAATGATAGTAATTTTATCTTTTACTTTTTAGGATTCTTTGATGAGTTCTCGCGACATGTCGACTGTACTATCAAGTAACCTGACCCCATTATCTATCAATGTGGAAAATCAGATAGTTCCACATTGTACGAATACAGATGTCATATCTTTGCCCGATCATCTTAGCCCGGATACCAGAAAGCATTTAATCGGGCCCTTTACCGGCGGTGGCGGGGATGGAGGTACTCCTATAGTTTCGCCCACGACGCCCGCGATGACATCTTTCGACAGCTTCGACTGGATCCGCGATGGATCCTCGGGCCTGCTTCAAGTGGGATCAGATCTACTCGGAGGACTACTGGATCGAAATCTGGTGTGATCTAGCGCGATGCGATTTATGCGGACCTGCCAAAAAATCAATTAGGAAAATTAGAAGCCGGATTTGTTCAATATTCGCTTTTTCGTAACAAGTTTCAGAAGTTTTTTTTTCACTCTTTTTTTGTAACACGATTCGAGTTGTTGTTTATTGTAATTAAATTGTAATTCAAATATTGATTTTAATTTGTCCTCTCAACATCACTCGATTTCAAAGTCTGTGCAATGTACTAAATAAAGAGCGGAAAAAAAAATTACAGTGCAATCGAACGTTACGTACAAAGAAATTTTATACGAATCTTGCTTCTAATTTCTGCGTGTAAATAGTCGGTTAATTCCCGGTGCTTTTTAATAATTCGCTAAGAGCATCTGAAAATCCCGGAAATGCGATAAATGCAGTACAGTTTATATAATATTCAGAAGAACATTCAACTAATGTGAAAGTGATACGACTCGAGAAGACTTAAATCCAGATTAATTGATTTTTTAATTGATGTTTAATTTTTTTATAATAATTTTTCTTTAAGTAATAATCGATAATTCACGCTACTTTAACGTTCAATCGATACTTTTTATAACATTCTTTGACATTTACGTGTGAACGTTTACCAGGTGTGTCAACTCGTTTCCACGCGCCGAATTAACAAAAGGGAATTATAAAAGGATATATAATAACGAGCTGCGTAGCGAATTTAATTTGACAGGATGACGTGTCCTTATAAAATGTGAGTCACATCTTTCAGTCGAATTGATTAAAGGCTGCAACTGTTTTTATGATAAAAAAATTTTTATAAATTTTTTAAAGTTTTGTGCATTAATATATACAGATTTTATTCAAAAAATTTTTTTTATAAGTCAGATTTAACATTTTAGAAAATTATTTTTTACTATGTAAAATTTATGATTTTTGTTATAAATTCTAGTTCGATCACATTCTTATATCCGTTTTTACAAAATAATTATAATTTGATGCGATAGAATTTAGAATATAAGCATAATAAAATGTGCATAATTATCAAGGAGAATGGGACACTAGATAAGATGTTATTTAATGATAATAAGTATCAAATTTTAATGTATTCAAAAATTGGTATCCAGGATAAAACAATCTTGACTTGTGTGTGAAAAGAAAAATTTAATTATTTGAATAATTTTAAAGGAAAATTAAGTGTTAGCCTTTGGTAGCTCGATTTACTTTTTTCAAAAGTTGTATATAAACGAGTGCATTTATGAAAGCGATATCAAATTTGAAAACCGATGAGTGACTATTTCATCACTTCGAAATTCAAGAATTTAAAATTAAAACAAAAAATGAGTGTGGATAACTTTTCACTCTTTTTTTTTAAATAAACATTACTTTTATTGTTAAAAATATAATGTGTCAAAAGCAAAGAACAATGTATTTCTACGACGTCTCTTTTTGTACTTCGCATAATTTAATTCTAACATTCCTTTAAATTTTGTTTTGCGTATCTTCGGAATGAAACAAATAGAATAATTATTCTATTTCTAATTCTAATTTTTAAAATTAATAGATAAGTTGTGGTATTGCTGCGTTTATTATTGCATATCAAATTAGGAGATTATAGCATCGACATTTTTTTCGTGTGGCTGGTTATCTTTTCTAATGGTCGTCTTTTCTAATTGTTATTATTATTACCAAGTTTCAATGTCAATCACAATTCATTTGTTGTTGCTACACCATGATTATTTGTTGCGTACAAATAATTTCTTATGATTAGCATTATGTTTGGCGGTACAATTATTACTGCAGTTACTACTGTTATATAAATTGAGACATATATGTTTTTTTATTATGATTTTATTATTTTAATACATTATATTATTACAGGTCTAATTATATTATATATTAGTATTGAATTAATAGGTAATTGACGGTATGATGTGCGTATGATATGAATACAAAAAAGATAACCAATATTTAGAAATAAATATTTCCAAAATATTGAATTACATATTTTTTCATTTTTTACCAATTATAATAAATTTTAAGATTTATAATTAAATCTTAAAATGAAAATAAATTTTAAGATGAGAGAGAGAAAAGGATGTAAAGCCAATATGATATGAGACGCTGAATTTATAATTAAATTAATTAAAATTAAACTTTTTTAGAACTTTTGAACCACATCATCTTTATGAAACTTACGTTCTCTTGATATCTTATTGATTTTTTAAATTATTGCAAATAATGAAGGTCATAAAACCTTAATTAATTTTCTATCTGTACGTATCTATATTATTTCTACGCTTTGTTATACAATAATAAAAAATGCGTGGTATAATATAAATAAATAAATAAATAAATAAAATACCTGAACTATGTGTTCTTTTTACGTCTATCGATTTATCCGTCCCATTATTCGACTGTTCATAAAATTTAATTTAAGTGTATGTATACGACATTCGATATTTATTCCTGTTTAAAATATTTTTTTTTTTTTTTTTATTATACATAGAAAATTTTATTCCCCTTTTTTCCATATTTTATTTTAAACTTGACGTATGTTGATATTACAGGATTGAACTTAATGGTCAGGATCATGGACATTGACTATGTAATTCAAGGTCTATATCTTATGGACTAATGACTGATCAGACTGATGGGCACGTTCAAGTTGCAAAGCTGCTTTTTCTGCTGAACGCAGCCATTGGTTATTACTTATAGATCCAACCAATCATATTTAATTGCTCGGCAAACGTACATACCTAGCCACTTTACCGTCGAACTCGCCCAATCTCAGGGTGCAAACCCATGCAGCGGAATAGCGTAACGCGGAACGAGAATAGAACCAATCACGAGATTCTCTAGAAACACGGAATGCTCGTTATTGGTTCTGCTCTCGTTCCGCGTTACGCTATTCCGCTACATGGGTTTGCACCCTCAGATTGCAGAACTTCTGACGCAGGCGGAGTAGCGCACACCCTAATAACCACACGTGCTCTACCTATCAGTAACGTACAAACTAAAAGGTATCAGGAAGGCCCGTCATGGTGTGAAAGAAAGAAATATAAAGGAAATTATATTAAAGGTCTTTATATCGATCAAACAATATTTTTTATATTAATAAATAATAATAAACTTTTTCTTTGCGTCTGCAGTCGACTTATTATTATACATCAATACCAACATTTGTTGCAAGGGTAAGGGAAACTGCAGAAAATCTTACCAGTATTCAAACAAAATCAAAATTATATAAATTACAAAACATACAGTGTTATTATTATTATTACATGTATAACATAATAAACAAAATATTGAAATATTAATACAACAAACATTAAAAGTAATTTAAATTTATACTAAATTAAAATATTAAAAACGTTGTTTAAAATTAAAAATTGTGAAAAAGCAATAAGATAATTAAGATATACAAAATAATTATGAAATGTATAATTTACATGTAATTAAATCAATATTTAATATATGGGCGCTCCACTTTAGTCTAACTGTATATCTAAGCACAAGCCTGTATCGTTGCGTATGTGTGAATAGAAGCTTGTTGGTGAAGACTAGTGCCACTGCGCATGCCTCAAAAGTTCTTCAAGTCTTCAACTGAGATCACTGTTTGGGTGATATTTTCGAACGCAGTCGGCATCATATATCCACTCTAGTTCTCAGGAAAGGTTAGTTAAAGTTAACTGTTAGGCTAATTTTACAATGTGCTTTTTGTTTCCTGTTTCTCGTTGATTGTCTCTTGCCTTCTTTAGACTAATTCTACAATGTGCTTCTTGTTTCCTGTTTCTTGTTCTTTGTCTCTTGCCTTCTCGATCAAAAAGCACGTGTAGAATTAGCCTTATAGCTTTACAATGAGACAATGTGCTAATCGTGTTAAATTTCATTTCTTCTTCTTTGATAAGTGTTTATATATGTTATATTTAATCGTTTAAACCTTAAAATATTGTCAATATTAATTTTTGCTTTGCTAGAATAATGTATTACAAAAATTAAAAAGGACTCGGAAAAAATGTTTCATATTTATCGCATTTTTTTTTCATCAAAACGCTTTTACCGTTAGATCCATTTGGCGTTTATTAGATAATAAGATAGATTATTGTTAATTAATTTTTGTACATGAGTAGGGCTGAATATAACTGAAACATGTAATGTTAATTTAAATAAAGTTTATTATTTGTTTATAGTATCTTAATTCTTTTAACAAATACTAAAATCTTTTTAAGACCGTACAATTTTGATAAACAATAAACAAATAAGAAGAAGGAAACCAATAACGGTCAAAACCACTAACGGTCAAAGCTGGATCACAAATGCTTATTTATATACTGCGTATGTAGTCCCTTAGGCCATCACACGTACAAAAATTTTAGTAGTAATCGTAAGGTCTTAAGCAAATCGACCAATCACAATCAAGATTAAGATTTCACATTTTAATACGCTAAACTGTGATTGGCCGATTTGCTTAAGACCTTACGATTACTAAGTACTAAAATTTTTGTACGTGTGATGGTCTTTAGTCGCGTGCCGACATTTTTTCAGACTTACAACGCAACACTAAACAACTACCGCAGTAATATCACTTTTAGTTAAATTGACACGCAATATAACAATTTTTGATGCTTATAGCATCTTATTGGATCTTAATAATATGTTGAAAGACATATATTAAAATTTAACGATGTAAATGTTGAAGTAAATCTTAATCTGTGAAAAATAAGATTGCGAAGAACATCACGAATTGGCGTTTCGCGTCCCGGTTTCCACTACTCTGGATTCATCAGTAAGGCATTGTAATGGAAACCTACCTTAGACGCCTGTTATTAAATCGAGATTCTATATATACAGATATACGCGTATCTCGGCATTTGCGAGAAATTTTGCGAATATCGATAGACCTCTGATGGCGGTTCGACGTAGTAATGTTCTTCGCAATATTTATCTAAAGTAGTAATAACGTCTGTTTAATTCTTTTATTTGAATATTGAAAAAAGTGTTTTTATTTATCAGACTCTTACTAGTCCTTTCGTATTACTTAATTGTTATTTTGAAATTGAGTCTTGTACTTAGTTTCATATATAAAAAATACATCCTCATATATTTTTTGCCATGAGGATTGTAAAGCTTAAAATATCTCTTCTTTGCAGAAGT